GCGCGCTCGGCCTGTGCGCAGCGTGCGCCGCGACGCCGTCGTCCCCGACGCAGACCCGCGGGTGCGCCCTTGGGCTGCACACCTACAGCGGCACGAGGCCGCAGGGTCACGCCGCGCTGGCTTGCTTGCTCCGGCCCCCGCAGCCGGCACGGCGCGCGCGCCGTGCTCCCGCCCGCCGCCTCCTCCTCGAGCGCCTCGAGCGCCTCGTAGGAGAGGACGCGGCTGCCGGCCTTGGTCGAGCGCAGCAGCGCCAGGCCGCGCGCCGCCGCCTCGGCGGTGCGAGGCAAGCAGACCTCGAAGAAGACCACGTCTGCCTCGGCGAGCGCGGCTCGCGCCGCCGCTCCCAGCTCAAACACATCGCCGACGGAGAGCTCCAGCTCTCGTGAGGAGCCCTCGCGCTGATGCGCACTCGTGTCGGCCGCGGGAGGTCGCTCGCTGATCCGCACGCATGCGCCCGGTGCGTGCGCCAGCAGCGAAAAGCGCTCGGGAATCCGTTCACAGAGCCGCAGCAGCGCCGCCTCGCCCACTCGGTAGCGCGCCGCGGCCAGCTCCACCGCGGTGACGCGTAGCAGGCTGGGGCATTCGAGGAACGCCTGCAGCGCGACCTTGCCTGTCCCCGCACCGAGCTCCACCAGCGAGCGACCGCTTTGCGCGTCGAGGTGCGCTTCGCCGAGAGCCTTGCGCACGCCCGCGGGGAGCACCTCGCCGTATTGAAAGTCGTGCCGCTCCGCCTCCTCGAGCAAAACCTCTGCCGGTGTCAATGCCGCGTTGTGGCCCGCGGTGCTGAGGCCGTGGAGGCCGGCGTCGTCGCCGTATGCAGTCGTGAGCACGGCATCGACGGGGGCGGAGGAGGGGAAGGGCATTTTCCCGGTTACAGTGTGGGCCGGGGCTGGCCGCTTTGGGTTGTCGGCCCTTGTTGGCCCTCCTTTGGTTCACCCTTGGGTTTCTTGCCGTCGTTCCTGGTGTCTATCTGAAGGATGAAGTTACTTCAGGAAGTAAGTATTCACTGCACTATAGCACGGGCTCGCACCCCCCAACCGCTTACTAGGAACCCCTCGCCTTATTGTTTGGCCCCCCCAGGCCACACACAGACCTCTAGACCGGTCACTGGGGCCGACAATTAGGGTTCAAACACGCCCCGGGAGACAGCCCAAACACAGTTACTTCATAGTTACTTCTGCGGCATTCTGGCGCACATGTCGGCCGAGCGCGCGCCCCCTGCTGCCGGCAAACGGTCTCCTGAGAGCCCTCCTACACCCTTGCCACCCCCCCAGCCCAAGACATCATCGAGGTCTGGAATGCGCGCGCCGTCAGGCTGCTCGTCGTCGTCAGGCTCACCCGCAGCAGCAGGTGCAGCCGCCGCAGGAGCCTCCGCAGGCGAAGGCGCAGCGGCTGGGGCGGCTCTGCCGCCGCGCCGATGCGGCGGGAGGAGCTCGAGAACTGTACCTCCATCAATGTCCCCCAGCAGAGGGCGGCTGCAAGGAACTGGAAGGAACTCGAACGATAAAGAGGTATGTGTTTCTCCAGCCAAACACAAACACTGGTACTGAAACGCTGACAAAAGCTGAGTTAGAAAAATTCATGAATGATAAGAGTTCCTCGTTATTGGATAGGGCAGGTTTGACGAGGGGTCTGCAGACCACCCGGCCGAACTTCAGAGTCGCGGTGCTCCTCAAATACCGCTCAAACGCCCACGATGTTGTGGAGGGGACATATGCTGATGATCCTGGCCCGATTGGCTTGCTCAGAAAGCTTCTGGGCGGTCGTTAAGGTTCGCTCCCCGATTTTCCCGGCGGCTCACAGTGGACACGCCGTCGGTCAACCCGTCATGCGGCAGGTGGCTTGCTTTGGCTCGCTGCCACCGCGGTGGCTCACCAAGGACATTTCAGCGTGCTGCGTCATCACCGCGCGGCGCGCAAGCCAAGCCTCACCCGGGCAAAAGGAACGACCGCGCGCCGCCGCCGCCCGCCGCGCCGCGCCGCCCCGCGCCTCGCCTCGCCTTGCAGCAGCGCACGCGCACACGCACCCACGCGCCCACGCTCGCTCCGCGAGAGCGAAGCAACCCTCCGAGCGAGTTCCGAACCGGGAGCCAAAAGGTCCCGGCTCGAACCGCGAACCGGTTCGACCACCGCCGCTGGCGGTTCTTGCAAAGGCATCAAAGGCAGTGCATGATATAACGTGAAATAGTGCGAGCGCGCGAGATACCCACCCGACCCACCGTGCCCTCGCGAAAGAGATCTCGCGCCGCGCGCGCTCGCACACGCCGCCGGCAGAGCACTCCCACCCCCGCCGCCTCTAAGCTCCCAGGTCCATTTGAGGAGAAGCACCTGGGGGCGGTCAAACCGGCAGAAGGCGCCCCGGCGGAGGCCGCGCGCCCCCCCCCCATCCCCACGCCTCCGGGTCGTGCGTACCGCCTCCGGGCGCGAGTGTCCCCCCAGCGTCTGCTCCGGCAGTCGCTCCGGTAATCAGGCCGAGAGTTTACCAGGGAGGAGGGGAGAAGAGCCCAGGGTGGGGAGAGGAGAAGAGCCCAGGGAGGG